ATCACCAAGTTTTACCAGACAGCCTGCAGACCACAGATCAGCAGAAGGAACAACATACAGACATACCTCTCACTGTAGGGATTGCAGCTCCTTCAATCCAGAACGGGCCTTGAAACATGTCTCACACAAAAAAATAAGATAGGAACAATGGATTATCAAAGGTCCCTTCAGTCATTGAGTCCTACCTCCTACTCCCATTTAATCAAGGATTATACATAATCCCAAAGTGTCCTTGAAGCCTTTATTCCATGAACCTTCGGCTGCAGACAGTTCCCTTACACCCTACAGCAAACCCTAAACCCAGAGCCAGAACTGTAGCTACTACAAGGAGTGACCAGGAGGAATCAAGAGCACATCACCACTAGTATATTTATCGCAGCTTTACACGGTCGCTAGTGCATGTGTAGCAAAACCAACTTCCCCTCATCATGTGGTGAACAAAAGGTATCATCTCCAGATAGGTCATGGGGAAAAGGCAAACAAAACAGGACCGTGCCAAAGTGGTCTAGATTTAGCAAATGTATTTCTGACTGAATTTCCCCTCTCTTAGCTTGGATTGAAGTCCACGCCGTTTATCAAATATTTCAGCATGATGGGAGGTGGAGGTCCATGCTGAGGGTGATGAAGAGAGGGCAGCCCTCTGGAAGTGATGGGCTCGATGGTCCCTTCCCCTCTCATTAGCTCAGGCTCAGCTGTTTCCCCATTTCCAGACTGAAAGGAGAGCTGGGAGAGGGGACTTTTATTTCCCTGGGGACAGAGACATCGTCAATTATCTGCCATTCCCTGCTGCAAGCTGTCAGTGAATAGGGCAGAGAAAGAGGACTGATAGGATTTCACCTTATCCCTCATCTCTGCTGATGAGCTCATCATTCATCTGCCCTGCACTTAGCACGGGCAATACTAATTATATTAATTACACCTCTACTCAGAGCATGCTTCTATTATCAGTAAGCAGAATGATGACTTTTTAAAATGAAACATCAGAGGTTCATCAGTTATATAGATTTAAAAATGTAGGTGTACTCGTTGCATCCACTGCTGAGGTGAATCTCTAGAAACTCAAAAGCATTTAATACCATTTTAGATGTGCAATAGGCTTTATATTGAGAGCAAAATGCACACTGTATCTAGAAGACAGTAGCACTATTAAATGCAGATTTGGAAACTTGGTCACTGCATTGGAGTAGCACCAAAATCCCCTTTGCAGTGTTCATCTGTAGGGACACTGGTCAGGTCAACGAGAGAGCTGGTAAGTCCTTGAGTGCTGAGCCTTATTGAAATTATACTAGTAACTACATCTATGTGTATAATCAGAATACAACTGTATTATTAAACTCAAAGGTAGGTTTATTTAGTTGATAGTACACAGGCCCGTGTAAGGTTTAAGAGACAGGAAAATAAATCCTTCTCTACAAAGTATGTTACAACAATGTGACAAATACTCATTGCTTAAAGTGTATTTGTTAGATGTAGAAATCATAAATAATCCATTAACACGGTGCCTGTATACAGCCACTGTCTGTGTGAATCTGGGCTAAGGGGCTGCTGCTGGGCAAAGTCGGTGCAATTTTGTGGGGCCAGTTGGAAATACCTGAAATGTCAGCAATGTAAGTGTAAATCTTAAGAACAGATTGTGTTTGTACGATAGAGTCAACTTCTAACCTGACAAAGTGAAAAGTAACTGAACTGGGAGATTTCATCAATTCTGTCTCTGTTACCGCCTTTTATCACAGTTTTCTTCTGTACAGAAATTAAACATACATTAATCACCAAGATTATATATATAGAGAGAGAGCACAAGCCTATCAGGGCTCTGGGTTCTGACCATTTTACGCAAAAGCAAAGCAGAAGTAGCTCCAGGCAGGTCTGCCATTTGCATTTCAATTGCACTTCTTCCACACTTCCTTCTGGTGTCTTGAGGAAAGTCTTAGCTACTAAAGCATTGCAAAGCCATCAGTGCTTGAGCAAAATAAATGAAGAAATCCTTTTTCCAAAATTATTATTTTTTTTTTACATTTCCTCAAAGCAAAAGAAAATCTAAACACAGTATGTGTGCAGATGGTCACACATGCACAGAAGGATTTTGCTCAGAGCGAAACCTATTCATCTTTCATTTACATTAATACAGAAGATAATAATCGTGTGGAAGATGTTTGCATTTTGACAAGAGTTTTGAATCTAAAGTAATTACGTTTTTATAGCCAACGTGGTCATGACTAGTACCCAACCTCAAGTTTGGTTTTATTCCCCTTATTTTCTAAGGAACAGCTGATGTTTATGCAGTTAAATCTCCTCTGACTGTCAGTGCTATTTAGCTTCTACCCTCATATGTCTCCAGATGCTGCCTGGGGGGATGTTAATCATCCTGTCAAACCGGGCAAGTGCTGAATACTTGCAAGGGATTTTCTGCTCCTCGGCACTTTGGACCCAACGCATAATGCAAAATGCAAATCCTTGTATGCAAATGGCAGCATACAGCACGCAATGTAACAGACTTAAGGTTATTTGCAAAACCAAAAGGAACTTGCTGCGCGGATCCCCAGAGTACTGTGACCTGGTGGCTTCCACTTTGTCCCTCAGGAGCTGGTTCTCAGTGGGATTTGAACTGTTAGACGTCAGCTGACGTGGGTAGACACTGTACCGTCCGCAGAGACGGGAGGTTTGACCCTGGAAGCCGCAAAGAAGCTGGGTATCAGCAAGCCTGAGCAGGGCTCAGCCCTGCAGAGGTGTGCCAAGAGCCTTAGGCCCCGGGGGTGAGCATAGGGCCAAATTTGGGCTCTTGTTGACTGAAGACTCAAGTATCTCCGGCTGTGGCTGGAGCATGTTTATCCCTGTGCAAGTTAGTCGAGGCACATCCTCACTGTGGTTTCTCCTGAGCCTGCAAGGAGCCTGCAAGGAAGTTTCTCCTGAGCCTGCGAGGGGCTGCTCTGAGCCCCTCCTGCCCTCACCCACTCCCTTTCCCCCGTCTCTCCTGACCATGGGTTTCTGCCCAGCACGGGTGCTCGTGGCCCTGGTCTACCCGAGAGCAACTCCTTTATCCTGAGGGTTTGTCCTTGCTGTGGATAAGGTGGCTCAACCCTTAGCTGGATGCGCTGTGTCTGGGCTCAGCCGGGGATGCGAATGGTGGAGTACTGTTGTCTGCTGGCTGCAGCAGAGAAGACTCACCTTGATTGCAGCCCAGGTGGTATCTCTGAGGGCTCTTCTGTCACAGGGACAGCTCACGCTTCAGAAACAGACAGATCTACGTTGTTTGGGTTGCGCAATAGAGAAAACTTCACATTAGCGGCCGTGCTGGCAATGCTGGGCTTGGAAGAAATATTTCTGGTGGAGCTCTTGCAGAAATATTCCTGACAAAGCAGCTCCTCGGGCAACGCAGTCCCCTCCGCAGAGAAGCAGTAGCTCGCCGTGATATCTACTGCCACCTCAAAGAGTATTTGCCCAGCTTAGCACCACAAATTAAACACAACTGGACGGCACAGAACGTTTCCCCACGTGTTTGCGTTCTCCAGTGAGTGTTTGCTGTGCAGGCACCACGTAGCTCTGGTGCTTATCTTTAACAAATATTCGGTTGAGAAGGCTTACATCGTCGCAGATCTGTGGCCTTCGCAAGTGCCTGCTCTTTTGGGTGCTCGTGACAGTTCCTCGCCTGAGGGGATGAGAGGGTGGTTTGGATTTGTCGTCACCCCCTCGGCCCTGCAGACCGTGGTTTCACGGAGCATCTGCTCCGTTGCCTGCGAGTGGCTCCATCCCACGCCATCCTGCCTCGGCACCAAACTCACCTCTGAGCCCAGTTGTTGGAGGGGAATGAGCTGGGGGTACGGGGCATGCCAGCTCTGGCTTTTCAAAAGCATGAAAAAAAAAAAAATTAAAAAAAAATCTCTTTCATTTTTCGTCAAGATATTTTTAAGCTGGCCTAGTTTCTCAACCCATTTTGCAGCATGATGGCGTTAGTGGCTGTGCTGGCACGCTGGGAGGGAAGGAGGTGGTGAGAGGAGGGGTCCTGGAGGATGGGGGAGTGGGTCCCTGGCAGCATCTGCTGACCAGTGCCTCTTCCGCAGCATTCCTCGTCCGAGGTGGCGTAAAAATCTGCGTCCTGCTTGGCCGAGGGCAGCGAGCGCCAGGGTTGGGACATGGGAAACAGTGGAGCAAGAAGGAAAGGGAGAGGGAGACATCCCCCTCTCCCCTCGTGGCAGCCGCAAGAGCTGTTGTGAACCACTTTGCTATTTGTTTACGAGCGGATTGAAACCACTTCAGCTTGGTGCAGATGCCATAGCTGGGCGTTGGAAATGAGCGCACATGGAGCAAGTGCTTCCTTCCAGGATGCCGAGCCCCTCTGAACGCATGAAATGCAGAGCATACAGTGCCTGAGCTTGTTCACTCGCCTGTCGTCATGGCGGAGAGCATCCCTCTCTCATCGCAGCATGCCAGGGCTGTGCAGGCACCCACGGTGTCTTCCTTTTTGGCAGCTGGGTGGGAATAGCCACAGGAAAAACGAGCAAGGCTCAAAAGGGAGATGCAGGATTGGATTCATACTGAATGAACCCTCTTTTTTTGTTTTTATTTTGAGATGTGTAATGACACTTCATGGTGATGGTGAGAGCCCCCTAAGAGCTCTGCACACTCCCAAAATAATCTCCGGGACACCCTGAGGTAGCAGATGGGGATGCCAGGGCTGGGGGAGAAGCACGCTGGGCATGGCAGAAGTCAGGGATGGCACTGGGATTAGCATGCCGAAGTGTCTGGTTTCTAGCCCCACACCCAGACCCTCTTTGGGTGGAAAATCCCCGGCACATTTTCAGTAGACCCTGGGCTGTAAGTCAGAAGTGAAACCGGGACCATTTTATTTTTGAGGTGGGACCATTTGGCAATGCAAACAGATTTGTGGCCCCTCATGGGGTTCAGTTACCCCTTACCACATCTGATGGGCGCCAGGCAGTCCTGGCCTCACTGCCTGCCTCTTACCCTCCATTGTCACTCACCTGCTTTCTGTTGTTTTTCAGGAATATCTTCCAGGCTCCCTGAAATCATGTCAATAGGATCACATTCATTCTCTCCGGGAGGTCCTAATGGGATTATTAGAAGCCAGTCCTTCGCTGGCTTCAGCGGGCTTCAGGAGAGACGCTCCAGGCAAGTACCATGCTCTGGAAGGGAATTTCCAAATCAGGCCCTAAGGGAAGGTGAAGGTGGAAAAGAGGTGGGAGAGGCCTGCCTTCTCTCTGATGCCAAATAGAGTCTTCTGGGCCACAATCTCTCTTTCTATTGTTTGTATAATTAAGCTGTTACCCTCTGCCTTAGCTACCAAGTGCCTGTTTGCCTCCCCCCAGTTAATGCAGGGCTTCCTCACATGCCTCAGAGCTGTGAGAGAATTTCAGAGAATCATTTGAATTTAGTAACTTATGCAGTGATCTTTTCAGCATGTGAAATGTGCAGGAACATGACATGCTTCCCACCACCCCCAATTTAAGACTGTTGCTATCTAAAAGACGGTTTTCTCTTTGCCACACTGCTATGAATTCCGAACAACTCTTTGCTTTGCAGGACTGCCTTCATGTCCTGCTGGAAACTGCAGAGCCTTGCCTTGCACCCCCCTTTTGCAAGACAGGACCTAGGGCTTTGAGTCAGGCACTTACCAAGTCATCCAGCCTCTAATACCCCCAGATGCTACTTTACAATTAATTTTAACCTGTGTAAAGTCTCCGAGTGTCTGACCACCAGTTAGCCATCCAGGAGGAACGGCAGGCAAAGGGTCACCATCAGCTCAAGTCAGTGATGGTTCTTGGACGGTGACCTGCCCCCAGCAGAGTCACCAAAGAGGCACCTATATGCAGTGCAGCTCTCCTCCCATTGCCATATGGAGCTGCCATGCTCAAGACCAGCGGCGTATGTTGTCCTCCAGACACGCTCTTGACCAAGCCCCAGTCTGATTTCTTAGGACCCCCCAGACTTTATGCCTGAGATTATCTGGGCTCCCCTTTGTTTTTAGGACCTGGATGTAGCTCAGCCCTTTTATGGCTGTGGCTGAGCAACGTGAGGCAGGAGAGGCATGATATAGGACAGAGAACCGTCTGATGAGCCTCAGACTCAGCCTGACGTTTCCAGACCAGCATTCATATCTTGGCAAGGCGACTGGCACATCAAAAGCTGACAGTGCGTGTCCCAGACTGCTCAGACCTCTTAACCTGTAAACAGACACCATCCTTTAACTGGCAGGCGCAGAAGCAGATTCGTGTCTGCTAGGAGAGATAATATCAGAAGATTTCTTCAAGCTATGCTCTTTTGAGATCGTTATGATTTATAGGGGTTTCCTCCTCTTTAATGTTCATTTTGCAGGTGTAACTCCTTTATTGAAAATTCCTCTGCGCTCAAGAAGCCCCAAGCAAAGGTGAAGAAAACGCATAATCTGGGCCATAAAAACAGCACCACGCCCAAAGAGCCCCAGCCTAAAAGGATGGAAGAGGTCTACCGAGCCCTGAAGAATGGCCTGGAGTAAGAGCCTTTATCTTGCTTGTTGATTGAAGCTTTCTGTGACGTTTTAGAGCCTAGAGAAACATATGACAGGAACTGGGATCCTTAGTCATAGGAGAGGAAAATGTACCTCTGGGAGCCTGAATTGTAACACTTAGGATCTGAAATATTTGTATGGGAAACAGGCAGAATCCCATTTCCACTCCAGTTGCTAGGAAAGCTCCCAAAGGCTGGGATTTCAACATTAGATTTTTTTTCCCCTCTGAATTTCCTAGAGTGCTATCAGAGGCTTATATTGCCCTTAAGATAATGTCCTAGACAATAGCGGGGCTTTTACCAGCCAGATACAGGAGCAGCGATTGGAAGGCACCAGCCCATAAACTAAGCAGCAGATTAGCTTCCTTGAAACTGATTGTTCAGTGTAAGGAGAACATCGAGCTCTTATACACAGCTAAATAAGTGGCTCCTATTCATTCCCAAAAAGGCAGCAGGGAGCTGCTTTTAGGACAGATCGATGTAAATGAGTTTTTGTCTGGAAGCAGATCCAATGAAGAAAGCCATTTGTTGCACAGATTGGCTTTTAGGACGGTCAGCAGCCAGCTCGGTATGTGCTGCAGAGCTCACGCGTCCCTTCTCTGGTTTGTGTTTACAGTGAGTATCTGGAAGTTCACCAGACAGAGCTGGATAAGTTGACTACTCAGTTAAAAGACATGAAAAGAAACTCACGCCTGGTACGTGTCATGCTTTTTCATCGTGTGGATGCACAGGAACCTCCTCGAGGTTCTGGAGCAGCCAGAGGGTGGGAGCGGGATACAGGGAAATTACTTTGATGCTCTTCTTCCCTTCCAACCCTGGTCTTGCTTGTGATCTCTATTGACTGCCAAACATTACTTTCTCGTGATACTGTTATGTTGCAAAATTAATCACAGCTATCTTCTCTGTTGCAGGGAGTCCTGTATGATTTAGATAAGGTATGTTACCCACTTTGACACTGGTTTTGCAAGGAAGCGGTGGTATCCATACAGTGTATGTAGCTGGCATGGGAAACCTCTCTCAGCTGGATTTAATACCCCAGCCGACACTGTTGAGGAAGAAGTTACCTGATGTTTTCCCCTTGCAAAGGAAGAAGCCCCGCTCCCTTCCCCTTCCCAGGGGGTCTGCTTGTTGCCCAGTGTCTCCACCAGCCAGCTGTGCTCACCAACCCGGCATCAAACTTACCCCATCAGCCCTTCCCTGGGGTCTGTCAAGTTAAACCAGCTCCGAGACAGACACAGGGAAGGAGGCAGACTCCTGCCAGGGCAGGAAGGAGGCAGAGGAGTGAGACCTCCTACTCTGCCAGCTTCCAGCCGTTAAATCCATTGCCTTGTGCTTTTTCACCCAGCCAGCCCCAGGCGGGTGGGAGGCTGGCAGGGGCACACCAGGGCTGGCAGTGGGGGGACGGGTCAAGCCCCAGTTTGTCCCTGCTCCTTCTGGTTCTGAGGAGGAAAAAAATGAAAAAAAAATCCCTGCAGGAAGATTTAGGTGAAACAAAAGGAAAGCTTTCAAAACATTTCCTGATCAAGTCTGGCTTTTTTTTCAGTCAAAATGCCAAGCTTGGTTTTGCTGTCAAAAATGGTTTTCTGAAGAACACAATAGATTTTGAAATGCCAAACACAATCAATTTTAATATAGGTTTTCAAAGTACTCAAAATACTGTATTTTGAGCTAAAAATGCTCTGGTCTTTTTTTTTTTTT